TGGTCACTGTCGAAAAGGAAGCACTCTGTCCTTCAGCGTGGCCTTCCAGATCCTCAAACCGGGACTGTACGAGGTACCTGAGGCACAGAACTCTTAAATACATTTATTCTATATATCAAATAAAAAACATTTAACGTTCGAAGTAATGTGTTGGGATAAAGTGTCATTACGTTACCCTCTCTCTCTCTCTCTCTGCAGCTGAGTCAGCACATGAAGTTGAAGCTCCAGTTCACGGCGTCTGTGTCCAACCCTCCCCCGGACGCTCGGCCCCTGTCACGTAATGAAAACATCACTTTGCTTTTTATTTATATACAGACATATAAAAGATCTCCACTTCCTCCCACTCTATAAAAATTAAGCCAGAATATCCGGATATGGCCAATGCCATCTTTCTCTGTGCAGAAAGAGTCTGTGCAGTAGTTATGAGGGTTGGCACCACGTTATCAAGGCCCCCCTCATATACCCGGTCGACCTAATGGCTCAGCTGTCAATCAAATAAATAACTTGTTATGTTAGGAGAGGTTTACTGATGATAAAAATGAACAGTTGAACAAACATCACCGTGATAAGAACGAAACATTTATTATACTTTTTAGTTTGTCCCTTATGCTAACATGGAGGCTACACTGCATTCAGCCACCAGGGGGCGATATAGAGGATGTGGATGGTATACATGCAGCCTAACCTTACCACTAATACTGATGGTGACAGGGACACCTTCATCTCTGAAACATGTTTTGTCATCATATAGTGTGAACATCATATATTGTAATTTGGGAGAAGGTGAGATAGTTTGGTTGAATGTGTTCTCTCGTCACCACACAGGTAAAAACAGCCCGTCCAGCCCGGCGGTTCGAGACCTGCTGGATCGACACCAGGCCAGTCTGGGTCGGTCTCAGTCCTTCTCCCACCAGCAGCCGTCTCGATCCCACATAATGAGGTACCACACAGACCCTCACTGACTGGAGTTAACATGGTTTAATTACTCTTCAGTTGTAGGAAAATAATTATATTTCAAATGATGTTGATGACATTAGTTTTGTTTCTGGAACATTTTGGGTTTTTTTATATTATAGAAATGTTCTGATTATATATACTTTGAGGAGTTTTAGGTTATTTTTGGAAGATCAAGGGTGTAAGTTTGGTTTCAGAAATTTAAATTAACAAACTATGATAAAACTGGTTATTGTGCGTTCAATAATAATGGAAGTACAACAAAAACTAGCTATGAGCTTGTTGTTATGAGCTTGTTGTTATATGTAAATTTTTTGTTTCTAACTGACCACATTTATATCTTTACTACAGATAAATCTGCTTTACTGTCTGACCTGAAATAACTTTGTACTGTACTTTAGTACAAATGTGAGGTTCTTTTACTCCATATCTACATTTCAGAGGAAAACGTACTTTTTACTCCTCTGCATTTATCTGACAGCTTTTTACACACAAACATATTAAGAGTTTATGAAATATGATTTCTTATAAATTAAAGTACTAGGGGTGTAAAGAAAATATCCAGATACAGCCGCTGCCATCTTTCTCCATTTGGAGCCTGAGTCTGTGCAGTAGTGATCTGGGTTGGCACCACGGTATCAAGGCCCCCCTCATACACCCGGCCGACTTCATGGCGAGCAGGACTCAGCTGTTAATCATGACGTGAAACCCCTTTTTTATTTTAAAATAACGTAATGTTGTAAAGATTTACTGATATGAGTCAGAAACCGGTTTTAATGTTATAGATGCGACTACATCGGTACACGGATGCAGACTGTTGGACTGACATCATGATCATGTATTACTGACATTGTGGGGACATGGATGTGTTTACACATTCATGTTGTGGGGACTCACTTTCCTTTTGGGGACTTAATGTAAATCATTGTCTATATATATAAACAAAGTAAAGATGATGATATAACAATATTTTCAGCAATATATTGACTCAACAACCTAGTTAAAACTCTGTTAAAGGTTAGTTTAAGATGAAGAATGTAAGTCAATGTAATGTCCTCTGAAGTGATGGAAACA